TATATATATATACACCTTTTTATTTAATTGTCGAATTTTACCATGGACTAAATTTATAACTCACCTATCGGTTTGTTACCAATTCACAAATCAATGAAATATTGGTTAATTATTTCAAAGAATGAAGAATAGAACTATAAAAGTAAAATCAACACATGAAACAAATAAATACGAAAATCTTAAGAATTAACATTAGAGTAAGGATATGTATCTCCACTAGGGTTACAATTTCAGTCTAGAATGCAATAAATGATAGACTAAATAAAATGTGAAATTAGCTTATTTAATTCTACGTACCATTTAATGTCACATTAACGTCACTTAGATTGAGATTGTAGTCCCATTGTTGATCCCAACTATTGATTCAGTTACACATCATAATGGAAGAAAAACACGTTTGATATGAAGAAAATGAAGAGAAAGATGATCAAGAATCCTTTATTCCATGTCAAGTTATTGAAACATTAGTTTTTTTCTCCTCTCTTCTCCTTTGTATATATCTTTTCGTTTTTTCCTAGCGTTTGTAACCCTTTATTTGACCCAGAATAGATCCTAAACTCCCCTTGAAAGTCATGCCTTAATAAACGGCCAAAATACCTGGGAATAAAAAAACAAAAGCTGAAATTTTCCCTTGGACGGGAGAGTTTGCAAACCACACCTCGAACGCGGCAAATTCTTTGAGTGTGTTTGATAGGGATTTTTTGGGGAAGAATTGATTTTTGAATAGTGATATGATGGGAAATGTGTGGTTGAAAAAAAAGAAAAAAGTATTAATATGATGGAAAATATTATTTTATTGAAAAATGTATGGTTGAAAATGAGAATTGATTTACTGTAGAAAATGAAAATCTGTACCAAACAGGCTCTTTATTTTTTAAGTTGTAGTCTGATGGCGGCAACTAAGAACAATTTTTGAATGGGGTGGACCTTGCAAAGCACGATCACCTCGGTTACTTTCAAACGTTTACATTTTTGTCTTCATTTCAAAATTTTCATACGATTTTGGTCTTCTTCATTTAAATTTTAAACCCCGCAACTTCCTCGAGCTTTCATGTTGGTCTCTAAACCTCCACAATCGTCCAAAATTGGTTCTCCTCAAGTTTCGAAAGTCTGTAAATCAATTATTCTTAAATTGCCACGAACTAACTTCAATTAGGTTCAAAATTTTCATTTTTGCTCTGAATACCTTCAAGCCCGGATTTTACCTAAAATGATAACATTTACTCTTAAGTAAAAATTCTTTCAATTTATAAATATTTATCAAGTTTACAAGTACGGACATGTTTATAAACAAACTACGAAGTTTTCAATCATATATCAAACACAATACTCGGCACTCCAACAACTTGATATTCTGTGTCCATGAATATGTTAGCTCTATGTGAGTATAAATTTTGGAACAAATTAAATAGTTATGAATTCCATGAAAATAAGTTATTAAAATTAATTGTTAACTTTGATTTATATTAAAATTTAAATTTCAATCGATAACAAACGTGATTTAAAAAAAAAAAGGAATCACAAAAGTTGGGGGGGCACTTGCCCCCCAGGACCCCCCTTGGGTCCGCCCATGGTTACATTCAAACTTTTACACTTTTGTCTTCATTTCAAAATTTTCACCCCACAACTTCCTCAACCTTTCATGTTGGTCTCTAAACCTCCACGATCATCCAAAATTGGTTCTCCTCAAGTTTCGAAAGTGTGTAAATCAATTATTCTTAAATTGCCACGAACTAACTTCAATTAGGTTCAAAATTTTCATTTTTGCTCTGAATACCTTCAAGCCCGGATTTTACCTTAAATGATAACATTTACTCTTAAGTAAAAATTCTTTCAATTTATAAATATTTATCAAGTTTACAAGTACGGACACGTTTATAAACAAACTACGAAGTTTTCAATCATATATCAAACACAATACTCGGCACTCCAACAACTTGATATTCTGTGTCTATGAATATGTTAGCTCTATGTGAGTCACTTGGGAGAAGAAAACAATGCAGTCAAGTCAACCTGCAAAAAAACAAGATTAACTCCATATAAATAAATGGATGATTGCTTCTCACAAATAATAAACACGATGCCCCCTCATCACCCGCCAGGATGGATGTTTTTTGAAGAGCTAACCAAAAGTCGTATTTACCTCTTTGTTAATGCAATTTCCTAGTGATGAATTTGCTGAAAGGCCTATTAGGAACAGGAATCAGTTTCCCAATAATCGCAAGTGGCCAGCTGGTCAAGAAGAACCATCAAAATGACATGTGAACTTCAAGAATTAAGAGCATGCTAAATGGATGAATATCATAATCAACACTTCAGTATTGGTGTTAGACCAACAACCCCGAGGGAAATAAAAAGATAAATACTCCACATGAATCGACATGGAATGGATCAACAGTACGGAGTGGAGATTCAACATGAACTACTTTAGGTGTTACAAGAATGCTTAGGTAATGACAAACGAACCTGATAGTACCAATAGCCACAGAAACGAGCCACAACTTCCAGCTGAGTCGAACAGTTGAAGTGAACTTCCCAAGAAACGTGATTATTATCACCTGGAAAAAGAGGATATATATAAAATCAGCAAAGATGATAAATTAGACCTGAAAAATAAATTTGTACCAGAAAAGAGAAAAGATGTTGGCAAATACCTGGAGCACAAGAGTAAGGCCAACGATACCCATGAAAAGACGATTTTTGGTTACTCCCTTCCACACATTAATCTCATCTGGCTTTCTAGCATTAAATTCATTAAATATCTGAAATTATATACATTATCGGTTAAATCATATGTCATTGTAGCAATAAAAAAATGATATCAGTTAAATCACGTGTCATAATGGCAATAAAAAGCCTGACTTACTAATGAACTAAACAGTGCGTAATTTACCTGGCAAAAGACGAATGCATTAAAAATCATTGTATTCTTCAATTTGAAGGCTTGGTCACGAGTGTCATGCTCTAAATTCAGAATCTTTGTTCCTCCAAAATTGAGGACAAGGAGAACCGTCACTTGATATAGAGCCTGCAATTAGTGAACCACCAATAGAAGATAACAGCAAAACTTAAAGGGACTCTATTCTTCTTCTCCTAGACTTCAAAATGCAATAGGAAAGTTATAACAAAAAAATTGTACCTGAATGATCAAGTTCCTCCACATAATATTTGTTATGAGAGGCTCCCTGAAATAGCAGCAGTATAGGATTCAATATGTAATTCACATCACAGAAAAAATGTACTTCCTTCATGAAGAAATCAATAAAAGTGGATTTTCAAAAAAGAATGGGAACCCATCCCAGTGCCACATTGTCAAAGACTTGTCTGCCACTCTGTTTCTATTTCAGAGCCAGAGAGCGCCTCTAAATATTTAAGTAGGGTAACCAAGCAAGCTTGCAAAATTTCTAAATGATACCAATAATCTTAGGCAGATCATTAAGGTTTTGTGTTTCTTAATATGATCGGATGAGGAGTCCTTGCTATTGCACCAACATATCATTTATTTCTGCTTTCATTCTCTTTTTGTTTTTTTAGAGGAAACAAGAATTCATACTGTTTCGAACGATAATATCTGAATGACATGGGGCAGAGGTGTATTTATGTACAAAGAGAACGTATCTTCAATAACACAATGATTGCATAGAACACATCAAGAAAGAATTCTAGTTATGATGCACTACCCTGGCTATGTAATATGAAGTTATAAATATATGAGCATCATGATTGCTTATGGGTGAAGCATGACCGCGTGCAACCTCAAAAATGAAGACACGTTAATTTATTTCGGCACATGGAATTTTGCTTTCCTATAGTCCACTATGCTTACCACCTAATGACTTATTACAGATGGTTTATTCTACATGTAACAGCAGCACTTCATATAAAGCTACCATCTGATAAATTTTATAGGATGTAGGAAACGAAAGTCAACAACACAGACAAAAATCTAAGGCTTTTTCGCAATAAATACGCGATTAACAAAATAATCTTTTTTTTTTGTCAGTCCATTCAAGTCAATGCTACATCTACTAAAAGGTCAATAAAATCCAGTATTTTGTAACCATCTCAAGTCATAATATGGTTTGGTATAAATCTCAGTCTTTCTTCGAATATGTTCACATTACTTTCGTGAGTGCAAGCTTCTTTACTTCTATTGAAAGACATGTCTCAACTATCTAAGTTGCCACCTCTTAATTTATCCTTAATTGATGCCAACTCTACTTGTATTCTCAAGTCTCAATTTATTTATTCAAGTATGGCAACACATCCATCAACAACATCCTCATCTGCTACCTTCATCGTATGGATACTTTGTTCTTCAATAACTCAACATTACTAAACATCAGTGGCCTGGATGCTAAAATGAATCTCTGAAGATTTATAGAAGATTTAGCCATCTAGAACGAAATATATTGGAACACTACCCCATGAGGAGCAAGCTTACCTGTGTGTTAGCATGGTATTAACTATCAATCTCACACACTACGCCAATACAGAATTCAATGAGGATTCTACAATAATTATTTCTCTTTTGGTAAGCAGGGAGGGGAGAAGAGTAGTCTAACCTTTCCAGAGATGCGAAACCAATTTTTGAATTACTTAAACAATGACTTTAGAGCATTTCATCATATGTGGTAAATCAAACCTTCTACCGACGGGAGGTCTACGCATGAGATGATCAGTGGGAGGTTCCGTTGCAAGTGCAAGAGCTCCTAGTGTATCCATGATAAGGTTTACCCACAAAAGCTGTATTGAAGAATAGAATGTGGAAGTTAATACTCAAGTACTCTTCCTCACATAAGAAACAACTGAGAGATCTATGACCATACATGCTATAGCATGTAGAGAGAGTGAGACAACGGACCTGCACAGCATTTAGTGGGACATTACCAGAGGAAACTGCAGACACTACATTGATTATCAGGGCTGCAACATTAACTGTGAGCTGAAATTGTATAAATTTCTGTATATTGGCATACACAGATCTTCCCCATCTCACAACCTGCAATTCATATAAATATACTAAGCAATCTGAACTTCTTGCAATCATAATAATTCAACTCTGAGATGGTTTAAACCTTTAACCAGACAAGTAATGACAAAAACCATTGAAAGATAGAAAAACTGATAAACGATCGCATTAATTTTTATATATAAATAAATATTTAATTTAAAATTCAAATAATGAGAGGAAGTTTTCATAACACCATGGCAAGCCAATGAAAAACTTGAAGAATCCAGATGAAATCATTTGAGTGCTCGCACTTCAAGAAGACAACAAAAGATAAAAGATATAATTGATAACGTGTAGTTCTGCACTAACACAATCACCTAGTAGAGTGTTTTTAGTTTCAATTAAAGCAATGCTATCCGTATTCCTGATTGAAGGAAACTATACCAGTAGTTTGCTTGAAAGCAGATATGAACAAGCTTTGACCAGAATACTGTGAAATGGGGCCTGACCTTTACAACCGAAGCAAAATTATCATCCAGTATGATAATATCTGAGCTCTCTTTAGCAACTTCTGTGCCTTGAATACCCATTGCAAGACCTATATCTGCCTGCACCATGATAAAATTGCATACAAGATCATGTAAACTGAAGAAGCAAAGAGAAGACTAAACAAAGTGCAACAGAGAATTCTTCAACCAGATTAATATTCTTCTTCAATACTCTTTTGTACAGCAAGTACTATGATGAAACTCATGAACCCAAAGCATTCAAATGATCATTTCAAAAACTTGTCTCCACGTAAATACAGTTCTTACTTCTAATAGATTTAATTTGATCTTTTCCAAATTCCAATACATGTCTAGCTAGCACAATGAAACTGATATACCAGCAGTTATTATGTCCAAAGTTAATTAGGACTTGTGAGTATGAAATCACTCGTCTTTTTATGAATTTGTAACCGACAAGAACATGGTTCAGACACAAATTATGGCAATAGTGTGCATGTTTGGGTGAGATAAGTAGCTTGTAAGATGGATTCTCGTAAAGGTAGACATGTACTTCTAAAAAAAGCCTTCCCAAAAGAAGGTTATAACCTAATGTTTTGCTTATCAAACTCATAATATGAGTTTGACATCCTTATATGAGGTTGATATCAGGGCAGGAGAGGATGATTGTAGTAGGTGGAGGTTGACACGTGATGGGTTTTTTTCTGTTAGTACCTATTTTAGATCCTTGATGGGACCCGTGCAGAACTCTTTCCCCTGGAAGATGGTTTGGAAATGTAAACTGCCCCCTCGAGTGGCATTCTTACTTTGGACGGTGGTCAGAGGACAGGTGTTAACGGTAGATAACCTTCGTACTAGAGGTTTCTATGTTACAGAGTGGTGTTACATGTGTAAGAGGGATGGGGAGACGGTTGACCACTTATTCCTTCATTGTGATGCTGCGCGTCTATTGTGGAATGATATTTTGATATCGCAACATATGGATTGGGTGTTGCCGAGGCATATGGAGGACACGTTAAAGGCGTGGAGGAGAAAGTTTCGAGATAAGGATAGCAAACTTGTTTGGGGCCTTATTCCGGGATGCATCGTTTGGTGTGTGTGGAGAGAAAGAAACAGTCGCTGTTTTGAAGACGAATCACGGACAAGAGAGCAGATTAGGGAGTTGTTTTATTTCACTTTGTATTCTTGGTTTAATGCTGCGGCAACTAGGCATATAGTAGGGTTGCCTAATTTCATGATGTTTCTCTCTGATTTAAAGTGATAGTACACTTCCTGTGTATTATGCTTTTTATATAAAATTTTTAATTACCTTTCAAAAAAAAATAATACAGGCTTTTGACCTAGTAATAGCAGAAAAGAATCACACCTCATGTAGTGCCGGAGCATCATTAGTGCCATCTCCAGTAACAGCAACTACATGTCCCCTCTTCCTTAGTGCTTGCACAAGCAAAAGTTTATCATTCGGAGATGACCTGCCCATCACCTGATCATACAAGAAGTCATCACTGTCTCTCCAAAACTAGCACAAACTAACAGCAGCCAAGATATCCAGATCATAAGTTAATTTACAGCTCATACAGAAATTTTGTCAGCCACTTCTAGTCTCTGTGCGTTGGACAGGGCACGGAATGTCTTTCCTTCTATAAGATTAGGCTCAGTAGCAACTGCATTTGATCCTAATATCCCACACTCTAAAGCTATTGCTCTAGCTGTTTGAAGATTATCACCAGTGACCATCCGCACCTATAAATTGATAAAACAAAATATCAACCAAATTGAAACAGTTTAGAAGCTGCATAATGCAATCAACGGATCAACACAATACAAAGGCCAGAAATCCCGTTTGAATCAAACCAGATTCTACACCAAAGTTCCACAAGCAAAGAAAATGCCAGGGAGGGAAAAGGCATCCGTTTCTGACACTACTCCTAAATAGTCACACTACGGATGTAGGTGTCAGAATCTTGAAAAGCCATCACAACATCAATTACATATAGTTTCAGTTCAACTCAAATTAAGATAATCGCCACTTACACACTAATAGCAGTTGGCTATCCGGACAAGATAATAAACAATCTCTGATATCGCAACGATATACACAAAATTTTCTAGTGCCAGAAAAGTAGTTCTTGAAATGTTATCCAAACTAATGGATCAGAACTGTTGGTTGGGAACAACTGGTTCTGAACAGGCCCAGAATATTTTGACGGCTATAAGAAAAATTATTCCAGATAAAATGCCATGGAAAAATTAAAACCTTTCCTAAACGAGAATGGTAAAAAATTTAAATAAACAGCTCTGCTCAAAATTTGCAGTATCTAGCGTAGTAAGGAAGACAAGACAAGACTATAATATTAGCCGGGACCTATGATGCTCGGACTCCGGTACGGGTATCGGGTACGGGTGCGTATCTAAGTGTCGGATCTTTTATTTTCTAAAATGTAGGATACGGGGACATGATTAAAAAGAGTCCAAATTTCGGACACGGATATGTGTATACGTCTTCCAAACTTCAATTTTTTTACTAAATCAGGATGTCATTTTGAATAGATCAAAATTAATTATTCACAATAAAGAAATGAGTATTTAATAAGGGGTTAAGACGAATAAAATAGAATTTTGGGGTTTAGTTTTCAATTATGAGAATTACTAAATGTTATATAAAATAGAAAATGAGGAACTTGATTGTAATTTAGACTTAGTGGAGCATTGAGTAGCACTACATAGAATCCATTTTTATTTTATACAAACAAAACCCTAAACCACCGATATAGAGAGAAAAGGAAGGAAAAAAAAAGAAGAAAAAGAAGGGAAAACCTAACGCCGCCGCCTTTCTTCACCCTCTCGGCGACGACGATAAGTTTATAGAGAGCAAAAATGGGAAAGAACAAAAGGGAAAGAAAAGGGAAAAAAAAAAAGAAAGAAGAGAAAGAAGGACAAAGAAGTAAAAACGACGAAGTGTCCTGTTAAAACTTGGAAGATCCGACCCATATCCCATACTCATACCCATATCGTGTCGTGTTTGACACGGGTACTCCAATTATTTCGAAGAGTCCGAGCATCAGAGGCCAGGACTAACATAAAATGGAAGCAGCAAAAATATCAGCACAAAATGGCTACTCCCAGATGCAGACAGAACCAATTTTCCCATATTCAAATTGGATACTAAAAAATGTTGGCAGCAAGGACGTCAAGACTTATTGGAGAAACAGTTGTGTATAAGATGGTTTATCAATTATCAGCAACCGATGTGCTTATCTTTTGAGCTTATAAGAGAAAGCCAAAATAAAGGGGGAAACGACAGGGAGAAAGAGTTATCTAGAAACAAAAGATTATTGAGGATAGAAAACATGCTGTTCAATAACATAATTATAAGAGAAAAAAGACAAGAACGTGCTTGTGTGTGTCACAGAGACAGAGAAAAAAGGGGAAGGGGGGGGGGGGGGGGGGGTGGGGCCAAGAAAAAAGAATCATTGCACAACTAATGTGGCACCGCCACATGAGCGGTTGGTAGAGTGTTCTCCTGTCAACACTCCTGTTGTTTAATTACTTTTTGACAAAAAAAAAAAAAATCTTAAAAAGCCGTTTTGGAGGAGCTAAAATTTTGAACTTTCTCTAAAAAAAAAGTCCAATTGAGCTTTTAAAGAAAGCTGTAATTTACCTTTGATAGAATTTTAAAATATACACATGAATATATTCGAAAAATTTCAAGTTTTTAACTTAACTAAAAAATATATAAAAATTATGCAAAAGCACTTTATTTTTATACTCTCAAACAATCAATTTAATATTCACAACATTTTTGGGATCCATGATGAACATCTTCTTAATAAAAACTTTATTGTGCCAAACGGACTCTCATATAAAATGATGAACATCTTCTTCGTAAGTTTGCTTTTCTTTTTGAAGTTTTTAATCCGAAGTTGTAGTTCTAAATGGGAAAAGGGTAAATATTTTTCTTTTTCGATTATGTTATCGAGTTGGAGGACCCACAATCAAAACGTGCAGGGGACACATGTCGTTTAAACATTACTGAGAAGTGGGTATAGGTTGATGTACATAATTACGCGGCTTTGGATCAATTTTAAGTCTTGCCGACAACTATCAAATCAAAGGTGGCCACACAATCACAGCACAACACGTCTTGTACTTCAAAATAGTCCACGCGTTTGAGCCCAATTTTTCTAGAATATATTATTATGTAAAAAGTGATTTTTTAGTTGAGAAAATAACTAATTTTTAAAATCTGATCCAACTGTCGATACGATAAAAGTATCGGATCACTGAGTCAATAGTTTGACCAATTGATTAATGGTTGTACCAGGGCATTAAAAATTATTAAAATTCAAAAAAAATATTTTTTATTAATAATACAAAATTACATATCTGTTTGAACCTCATTCTTTTAAAATAAATTTTGTAGAAAAATATTTTTTGAATAATGTATGTTTAAAAAGTAAGGAAAAAAAATTAAATGTATTTGTAAATTTATTTATTATAAAAAAGAATTTGAATAAAAAATAAAATTTTAGTTTTAATCCACGCCGTTAGTAGCTAATTTTCCATCGAAATGTCAAAGGCATGAAACCTTGCTCTTTTTTTACCTTTGAAGGCTTTTAAATGAATTGGACAGACCGTTACTAACAAATAAATGACAAATGAGTACAATATATGACAACTCTCCGATTATGTGCTCATGTTGCTTACACATTTCGGATAAATCGTAGATTATATAACGTTGATGTGACTAATTTTGTAAAGACAATTTTGCAGATAGTGTGACGAGGAAGGTGATTTATGTTAAGCATGATGTGTAGTTTGCTAATTGATTGTTACTGGAAAGGGAAACAAATGACTGTTCCAAAAATTTTGGTTCACAAAAGAATTTGTTTTTCCTTGAACACTCCAACTATCGAGCTAGTGAATATGATAACAGAGATGGACTGTATAAAGTATAAAAGTTGAAAATGAGACAAGTCTAAAGAAACATTAGTAGATCGAAAGCATCTACGTATAGGCACTTGCTTCGGATGATGTAGCCAAATTCAAATGTGTGGACAACGGTATCCTAGATGTTCTTAAATTCACAGAGCAAATAAAGGGACCGAATATTCCTTACTTATGAAAGCACTCTGATTAATTCCCATGTGAGTTAAATATTGGGAAAAAAAACCACCCACCCCCCTTGTTGTGAGAGATCTGGCCACTTTCCTTCTGCACGAGTAGAAGGATTGAAGCACTATTGATCATTTTCCAGGTTTGACTACTCCTTGATTCTGTCTAGTTGTCGAGGAGTTAAGATCTACTGTCCAATTAATTAATTATTGACGCATCATTTTGTATGAGAGAGAACATTTAACAATGTTCAATAGTTGTTAAAGTGGAAATTAAAATTGATGACGTGTTAATTTAAAATGATATTCCAATAATTAATTGGATGGACATGAATTGGATAGCAAATGTTGGACAATAGGTGTGTGTTTGGTAGAGATTTTTTGGGGGAAGAATTGATTTTGAATAGTTATATGATGGGAAATGTGTGGTTGAAAAAGAAGATACGATTATTGATGTGATACAAAATATTATTTTATTGAAAAATGTGTGGTTGAAAATGAGAATTGATTTACTGTTGAAAATGAGAATTGGTACCAAACATAGCATAGATCTCAACTGGTAGTTGAGTCTCTAATACTTGGATTTAAACCAATTACTGATGTTGAATGTTCGATGAGTATTGATACTCGATCACTTAGGTGGTCGGTCATGTGGGTAATATTGTTGAGGTTAGTATGGTGGACTATTATTATCTATTGTACCTAATTGATGGGGTCGCACTTTCCTTTTTTCAATTGTGATTACCCTTTTTGTTGGATGGATTAGCTTGGATTGAGGACTCAAGTTGGAGGTATCGATTCATATAATTCACTTGCTTTAAAGTTGACTTTTAGCAATAAGCCCACACCTTTTAGTGCTTCTAAATTTTTACAAGTAATAGGTTCTACAGAATATATAAAAAATAAGTTGACAGTAAATTGTAGACCATACAAAATGTATGAATAAAAAATATGTTTGACGAGTTTAAATTATGTAAGCTTTCCCAAACATGGTCCCACCAGTTTGACTTGAAATAGAGTCCCACTTGACAATATTTTGGCTACAAAAGACGAGGCTTATTCTTAAGCTATAAGCATACCCAAATGCTTTTATTTTATTAATTTTTAATTTTATTTTTTGGTGTTTCATCCCTCTAGAAATGGGATGAGAGCTAGCGGTGAAAAAATTACCTAACCTGCCAAACTGGTTTGGCAAAATCATTAATATGGGTTAACGTGGTTTAGGTTTTTACAGTTTTAAAATCGAATCAACCCATTCGAAAATGATTTAATTTAGGTTTTGATATTTAAAACCTGCTTGAACGCAAAGCAAATCTTTCACCCGATTTTTTTTTTTTTTTTTTTAAATGTAGTTTTACCTAAGATATTATTTATTAAATTTTAATTTGCTTGTAGACTTCAATTGGTTCTTTAGGAAATAATGATTTATTTATTATAATATTATTTTAATGATCTTATCTAAAGAATTAAAGTGCAAGCTTCAATTTTATGATTGAACTTTTATTAATTAATTGATTTAAGCTAGCATTGAGACAAGTATAATAATGTCTGTTTATAATGCCTCAATTTAAGTGTTATAGTGATACTTATTTTTCACTTGTTTAAAAGATGTTACTCTTATATCGACAAACCCTGACATCCTTTCATAAAAATGGAGAAATTACTTGATTTATTTATTGGATTCGACAGGATTGATGAGGCTCGAATCCGTATCTTCCACCTTCATAGGGAAAATCGTGCTTTGTTCATTTTGAAAGTTTTTCAAACCATTTTTACAAATCACACAAATAAAATCGTACTCACCCCTAATAAGAGCTTCCATCATCAAAGACTCCACTCACTTCATGACAATAAGATTGTCTTATTATCTATCTTTCAAACTTTTGTGCTTGTTTGGTAGTGCTTTTAAGTTTTATAAGTCGTGGATCCTACAAATTGTGGAATAATAAATGAGTATTAAATTATGGGTTTGATGAAATAAATGTGTGGATACAAAATATTTTGATAAATTAATATTTGAACTTCTTTTTTATTTTTTATTATTTTTACTTTATTTTTTATTTTTTTGCAGTGTCACACTAGTTTCCAATATACAAATCCGTGTTTTTAAGCGTTTAATTATCATTATTAATTGATTAAATTGGATAAATTTCACTAAAGGCCACTAAACTTTTACTACATATGCAACTAAATCATTGAACTTCAATTAATTACAATCAAGCCATTGTACTTTAATTCACAAGCAGTCAATCACTCTATTTTATTTCCATTAATGAGCCTACTAAGTTAGCTTATACAGGAATTGTTGATAGGCATTCATTTTCATCCATCTTCCTTGCTAGTTTTGCTTCCATAGTTCCAATCTTTAGCAATAAATGATAAATATTATATCACACCTCTAAATCAATGATGCAAGCTAATACTATATCCACCATCAACTATATATATATATAATACACAAAGCAGTTGCATTATTGTATAATAATTTAGAGATGAGTAAAAATAAAAAAGATTTATTAAAAAAAAAAAAACATCGAATACCTTACATTTCATGCATCCATAAAATCCGTAACATCAATTGTTTGTTCATGACGTTCTAAGTTTCGATGTTTCTCCATAATGGCACATTGTCGTTATAATTGGTACAAAATATAGTTGCAAATATAGTGGAAGTTTAGTGACCTCCAGTGCAATTTATCCAAACATATTAGGTGATTTTTTTTTCCTTTTTTGAAAGGTAAATTAGGTGAATCTTATTAGGGGCCATTTTGAGCTCAATTTTTTTTTTTTTTTATGTCAAATTCATTTTGGAATAGTAGATTAACAGAGAATGTATAGTTAAAAATGAATAATTTTTTTTTAATTGCGTACATATTATTTTATCAAAAATTGTGTGATTGAAAAAGAAAAAAAAAGAATTATGCTACATGTACACCATTTTTTTACATAATCTTTTACATACACTCACAATAGGGTGTGAGGACGACACATTTGAGAGTTTTTTTATTCAAGCGAGCCCCGCGCGCATGTAAGAGGGTGTAACATTTTTGGTACACTATTTTCGGAGTAATACTATTCATCCCTATTGGGGATGGAAACACAGTTTACATGGCGTTAATGTGCTATTAAATGATAGGTGAAATTAAATAAGTCATTTAATTTCACATTTCATTTAACCTATTATTTAGAGTCACTTAAACTGGGGTTATAATCGCAATGAGGTTACATAGCATTATTCTATTTTATATAAAAACTATAAGTGTTATGCCCTAAATTCAATCAATTTNAAAAATAAAAAAAAATACAAGGTCTATATCGTCATGATGAAAATTCTATGCCATAAAGGTCAATCTAAAATTACATTGAAAATCTCAATTTCTTGTTTTCATCCCCAAATAGCATAGAGATCCGGATCCGAAAATAATATAATTATTAACCAGTTCACCGCGTCTAGTTCTAGATATATAAAATACCTTCCTCCAATCAGTGTTAGTAAAGATCCAATCAAAATAAATTCAAGAAAAGTTCCAATCTGTTAAGCTTCTTATATCCTTTATTTTTCAACTCTGTGCTTTGAATTTTTTCATTTGTTAATACAAACGTTTTTCTTAATTTAATGTTTTTTGTTCTACACCTTTGAATGGTACTAAGTAGTGCTGGTAATTCTTTCTATTGATTTTGCAGTGTGATATGGGGTCTGATGTTTTTGATTATTGTCACAGGTTAAAAATAATGGCCAAGATTTTACTTCATGGGACTCTTCATGCCACGATCTATGAAGTGGATAGGCTGCACAATGAAGGGGGTGGCCATTTTTTACGCAAGGTAGATATTTCATGTCAAAATTGGCCTGGATAACTACCCGACTTGTGTTGAATTTCACTATTTTTGGGTTGGTTTGGTATTTGTGCAAAGATCGATGTTTATGGCTGACAATTTGCAGCTTGGTTTGAGGAATAATGTTAACAAAGCGTAGTGATCAACTACTAGTTATTTTCAAATGATTTTTAAGAATCAATATGCAAGGATTTATGAACTTTATAGAGAATATATTCTGACTCGAGTTGCTGTGATTTAATTTGATTTCTTCCGCACCCACCAACCTTGAAACGCCCCACAATTGGAATAAAAAGGTTAGATGCTTAAGATATAAGTAGCATATAGAATGGATATACTGCTACAAACTTATCTTGCTATTCTTTTATTCTTTTAAGTTGTTGTCGAATCTTTTGAGCATACTCAAGCAGTATGCAGAAATGTTTTGAGTCTGATTGACAGATCGAATAATGGTGGCTGAAGTTCAATCATTCTGATTCTAGCATGGAGAGATTACTATGCAAATCGAAAACACAGCAACTTTGAAATACATGGTTTCTGGTTGATTACTAGCGCCTTCAAATTGTTATAATTGAGGTGCTGGGGTGGGGGCGGGACTGAAGATTGAAGAGACAACACGTGAAAGGAGATGCTCCGTCTCAAAGAGGAGAAGACGATCTTGTTTCTTAAATCTTAAATAATAAACCATGACGTTTTAACCTGTTTAGAAGATTGGTACTAAGATGGTTTCGGACAAATAATTTGACAATTTCCCTGTGAAAACATATAATTCTATTTTTCTTTTATTTAAAAGAAAAATCAATACAAATGTTCTTTGTTTCTCTTGTCCAAGAAGAACCTTTAATCTTTTTTGACATAGTTTTTGAATTTTTTTATGTACTTTTTTATGTATTTTTCTCTTTTTATGAATTATATTTATTTGTGATTCACTATTCATTCTTCGAACGTTGATCTGAATTTCTTGGATTGATTGCAACTTTGTATATATTTACGGTAAGTTCTTATTTCATTTTGCCTCGTGGTATCATGTATTTTGATAAAAAGTTAGATGACCAACAGCTTCAGTTAATCGTCTAATTCAAATGTTTTGTGTTAAATGATATCTGGATGCCATTATCTTGTTTTATAAATTTATATTGTACGTTTTCCTTAAAATCTTTCCAATATTATTTTATTATTCTAAAAGATGTAAATTTCCTGAAACTTTTATGACCAAATTGTATTTTTCATATAAATGCTGACAATTGTGGTGCTAACCATGTTATTCAGTCTTTAAATGCTAGTAGTATTTGAAGGTCTTGAAGAAAAGTTTGAGCTTTGCATTTAATCACCTCCTAGATGGTTGGCAAGTTGTCCTTATACCTGTCACCTACAACTGCCCAGGAATTTAAGTATATACTGACTATGCTTTAATTCTTTTCATTCAGTTGTCTAACATTTTTGAGTTGGTGCACATTCATCTTCTGCAACTGAAATTCGTTGTATACTGACAAATAGGTTTGTACAAAGTATATGTAAACACACGCAACTCTGGTGGCATGGGAAGGTGCAATCGTTAGATTTGTTAGGGCCATTATCACCATGTTTCTTTTCATTTCCTTATTTTTAGCAGTCAAGTTAATTTATGGAAGTGGATTATTCTCTAAGAGCTCCTTCCGTTCTTCTGCTTCAAAGTGGTTGCCTGCTATATGTCTCTTCTCTGTGCAGTAAAATACTTCAAAATGCATCATTGTTGGATTCTATTTAATCTGTCTATTTTCATGTATAATTTTAGGATCATTTGTGAATGAAGTTATAAGTTGAATAAGTTTTTGAAAGAGATGTTATTGTGTATTCTATATGCGGAAAGTTGTTTGAAGACTAGTTCTCTACATTCCTGATTGGTGTATTTTAAGTATTCTATTTGCCTCCGATGATACTTCTCATAGTTGGAATATTTTTGTAGATGATGGAGAACATTGAGGAGACTGTTGGTTTTGGTAAAGGGACTCCTAAAATTTACGCAACTATTGATTTAGAAAAGGCAAGAGTTGGCAGAACTAGAATTATTGAAAATGAACCTAACAAACCGAGTTGGAATGAGTCTTTTCACATTTACTGTGCTCATATGGCTTCAAATGTGATATTTACTGTTAAAGACGATAATCCTATTGGTGCAACTTTAATTGGAAGAGCTTATGTACCAGTTGACGAACTCTTGGAAGGGGAGGAAGTGGATAGGTGGGTTGAGATATTGGATGAAGATAAGAATCCTATACATGAAGGTTCTAAGATCCATGTGAAGCTACAGTTTTTTGATGTTTCTAGAGACCGTAGCTGGGGTCGTGGAATTAAAAGTTCCAAGTATCCTGGGGTTCCCTATACTTTCTTTTCTCAAAGACCTGGATGTCGGGTTTCTTTGTACCAAGATGCTCATGTGCCAGAAAAATTTGTTCCACAAATCCCCCTATCTGGAGGGAAGTATTACGAGCCCCACAGATGCTGGGAAGATGTTTTTGATGCAATCACTAATGCTAAGCACTTCATTTACATCACCGGCTGGTCCGTATATACTGAAATCACCTTGATAAGGGATTCTAGGAGGCAAAAACCAGGAGGTGATATTACTCTTGGCGAGATACTTAAAAATAAAGCAAGTGAAGGTGTTAAGGTTCTTATGCTTATTTGGGATGACAGAACCTCTGTGGGTCTGCTAAAGAAAGATGGCTTGATGGCTACCCATGATGAAGATACCGAACACTATTTCCAAGGTACTGATGTGCATTGTGTCTTATGCCCACGCAATCCAGATGATGGTGGAAGCTTTGTTCAGGACTTACAAATATCCACCATGTTCACTCATCACCAGAAGATTGTAGTGGTGGACAGTGATTTGCCTAGTGCCGGATCTGAGAAGAGGAGGATTGTGAGTTTCGTGGGGGGTATTGATCTTTGCGATGGAAGATATGATACTCCATTCCATTCACTTTTCAGGACATTGGATACTGCACACCATGATGACTTTCATCAGCCTAATTATACAGGTGCTGCAATCACTAAAGGTGGGCCAAGGGAGCCTTGGCATGATATTCATTCCCGACTGGAAGGACCAATTGCCTGGGATGTTCTGTTTAATTTTGAGCAGAGATGGAAGAAACAAGGTGGGAAGGATATATTACTTAACTTGAGAGAGCTCGATGACATTATTATTCCTCCATCTCCAGTGACGTATCCAGATGACCATGAGACATGGAATGTTCAGTTATTCAGATCTATTGATGGTGGGGCTGCCTTTGGATTCCCGGATGCGCCCGAGGAGGCAACAAGAGCAGGTCTTGTCAGTGGGAAGGACAATATAATTGACCGAAGCATTCAAGATGCATATATTCATGCGATACGTAGAGCAAAGAATTTTATATATATTGAAAATCAGTATTTTCTGGGAAGTTGTTTTGGCTGGGATTGTAATGATATCAAGGTTGAGGACATTGGAGCTCTGCATCTTATTCCTAAGGAACTTTCCTTGAAGATTGTGAGTAAGATTGAGGCTGGGGAAAGATTCACTGTGTATATCGTGGTGCCAATGTGGCCCGAAGGAATTCCAGAGAGTGCATCAGTTCAGGCTATATTAGATTGGCAGAAGAGGACAATGGAGATGATGTATAAAGACATCATTCAGGCCCTTCAAGCTAAGGGCATTGAGGAGGACCCTAGAAATTACCTGACATTCTTCTGCCTTGGAAATCGGGAGGTGAAGAAGAGTGGTGAATATGAACCTTCAGAACAACCAGAGCCTGATTCAGATTATCTAAAAGCTCAGGAGGCTCGACGTTTCATGATCTATGTTCATGCCAAGATGATGATAGGTATATACTGGATTTTGAGGGTAATTAGATGGGCTTGTAGAAATATTATTTTTTTATATTTAAACCTAAAATATGATTTGTAATTATGTCCTTGTTTGGTAAAAATAAAATTTTTAATTTTAATCAAAATCAAAGTCAACAATTAATTTTAACTACATATTTTATGGTCCCACAACTTTTAAATCACACATTTCATCAATTTTTATCAAAATTTACTGAAAAACTGATTTTAATCCCCATCAAACAGTGGCTAGATGTGCTATGAAAGCTCAGATTTTTTTGTTTTCTTATTTTTTTTATATTTAAACCTGAAATATGAACTGTTAATTGAAAGATCCATCTTCTAAACTATGAAATCTGTCTAATGTGCGGAGCTGTAGCAGAAGTTTTTCCATCGTTCAATGCATAAATCATTTGTCATTATTAGGCTTTTGTATTTTCCTTGTCTTGCAATAGCTACTACACATGAGCACATCAACTTTACTTATATTTATGATAGCACCACTGGAGATTGGTTTCTGTTGTATTGCCGTTGATGCTGCGGTAGCTTGTGTTTGCAATCTTAAAAGCATGAAGAGTACTTAACATAAGTGAGTTCAAGAGATGAACTGCTAATGAGAATTAGGCCATATGTTGATATTTCTTTTTCTTTTGGTAGTTGATGATGAGTACATAATAGTTGGATCGGCCAATATCAACCAAAGATCTATGGATGGTACAAGGGATTCTGAGATAGCCATGGGGGCATACCAACCATATCATTTGGCAATCAGGCAACCAGCCAGGGGTCAGGTACACGGTTTCCGGATGGCACTATGGTATGAACACCTCGGCATGCTCGATGAAACTTTCCTCCGCCCAGAAAGTGAGGAATGTGTTAGTAAGGTAAACCAGATTGCTGAAAAATATTGGGATCTATATGCAAGTGAAAATCTTGAAAGGGACCTGCCTGGTCACTTGCTCCGCTACCCCATTGAGATTGCTAGTGAAGGAGAAGTCACCGAGTTGCCAGGAATGGAGTTCTTCCCTGACACCAAGGCTCGCATTCTTGGTGCTAAATCCGACTACCTCCCTCCCATCCTTACTACTTAAATGGTTACCCATAAATGGTTTGTCTTCTTACTAAACTTGCGTTCTATTTAGACTTGGTGTGTAGCAATCATACTTTTTCCCTAAGCTGCAGATATCATGTTATAGTTCTGCAGAGCACTGATTAGACTATAGTTGATGGGCTGTTTTGAATTTCGATTCTGAGTGACCAGATTTGTGTGTTTGAATAGTCTTAAAATTACCTTGCTATTTCATGTGTTGTATGGTGCTTTTACCTGAGGAGTTGCATATAGAAGTGAAAACGGTTATCATCTATACTTTCCAATGAGCTGATGGTATGCTTTAGGCTTGGGCATTGGGTTGTCGGTCCGAGTATTGAAATACCCGGAACCATACTTCAAGTATTTTGTAAATGGAATCACTTTGATCCTTGTCATTAATGGAACCAAACGTAAACCTGAACCGTCAATTTCAGTTCGGGTTCGGTTCTGTCCATAATATATTTTTTATATACATTTAATAAACATTTTCATATAGGCTCTTTCAATGCATGTGCTTAATACGCTACTACTCTTAACAATATTTGTGTAAGGAAGAAAATTCAGTTAAGAAATTTTCAAGAAATAAAATAGTGGAGTCTAAAAATCACGAACAAAGGAGGATTAAAACACCAAAAATTAAATTACAATTTGAGAAAAAAAAATTCTTAATAAATCTTATTCGATCCAAAAGTAGGGATGGCAAAATGACTCGGGTGGCTCGGGCTCGACTCGAAAAAAGTTTAAGCTAGGCTGGCAAGTGGCTCTGTGGGACTGAGCCGGGGCTCGGGTCGAGCCCTTTTTGGGGCGTTGGCCCGGCCCGGCCGGCCCCGTGTGGCTAAAAAATTAAAAAAAAAAAAAA